TGTGTGTGTGTGTGTGTGTGTGTGTGTGTGTGTGTGTGTGTGTGTGTGTGTGTGTGTGTGTGTGTGTGTGTGTGGTCTGTCTGTGTGTCACGTGATGTTGTGTGTGTGTGTGTGTGTGTGCGTGTGTGCGTGTGTGCGTGTGTGTGGTCTGTCTGTGTGTCACGTGATGTCCTTAAACTAATTTGACTTGACCGTTGGATTACTTGTTTCTTTTCAGAGTTTCCAGAAAGGAAGCAAAACCACAGATTTGTCACCTGGTAATGCTCTGTATCTCCTTTATACTAGTTGGAACTGGGTTGTTACCTTTATGTATAAAAAACAAAGCTTGAGTACGTACAAACTTTTATTTTAGTACTACTGCTTGGTTTTATGTGCAGATGTCTATAAACATTCCATTGTGATAATACAGAAGCCAGAGCTGAAAACTACCCCCAAGATCTTAGACTGTTAGGGCCTGTCAGAGAGCTCTAGGTACATTTTGCTTAGCATTAAAAAAAAAAAATGAAATAAAGCACAAAATGAACAAAGATCCCATTGTATTACAGAGAGAAGCTCCTCTTGTTCTTTTAAACACATAGACTAATGACTGAAACATAAGTCTCATTATGGCGTGAATCTTTATGTTTTAAAAGTCTGTTTTAGCAGGGTGCAGGTGCCTCACACCTGTAATCCTAGCTACTCAAGAGGCTGACGTCTGAGGATCCTGTTCAAAGCCAGCCCAGGCAGGAAAATCAGTGAGACTCTTATCTCCAATAAACCACTCAGGAAATCAGAAGTGGCACTGTGGCTCTACTGGTAGAGTGCTAGCATTGAGCTGAAGAGCTGAGGGAAGGCGCCCAGGTTGAGTTAAGCCCCACAACACCAAAAAGAAAAAAAAAAGTGTTTTCTTCTCATGTAGACTGTTAGCATCCCAAAGATATAAGATCTTCTAAAACTGTGACTTGATTTAACTGTTTTAAGTGAATTTAATTCTGGGCTTGGTTGAGTAGATGAGATGCCGCGTAATTGCAGAACAACTTTTGTATTTAAGGAAGTCTCAATGTTTTGTTCTGATTATAATCTTAGGGTGATAATAGGAAAAGTAGAGGTTTTTTTCTTTTTTAAAAAATTCCTATTTTCCTTTAAGCCAGAGAGCTCAGACACTTCAAATTCTGAAAGCGAATCCGACAGTGAACCAGAGCAAGTTTCTGGATACCACAAACTGCTTGCTACATTAACAAATGCTTCTGAGGAAGATGAGGAAGATGATGAAGAGGAGGAGGAAGAAGAGGAAGAAGAAGGTGCTGTAGATGAGACAGACATGAATGATGCAGATGATGGGAGTGATGTCAGTGTGGAAGAAGAAGCAGAGTCTGCTGAGATACAGGACAGTAAGTTTTGTTGTGGCTAATGGATGGATACATTATCCATATTGGGTCATAGACACAGTGCCCAAGGGGTGAAGTGTCATGTGTTCCTTGAGTGATAACCTGCAGAGACAAAGCAGAAATTTAACCTTGTTTGGTTGGCTTATATTTTGAGAAGCTGCTATGATTGAAGAGCATATATACCAGAAAATTGCAGAAATACTATTTGTGCAATTTTAGGGATTTGATCAGGTTCCCTGACACTCAGGAAGAACATAAGTCTAGCATCATGGTTTTCAGTATATTGAAGAGGTAATTACCTATGGCCTTGGGGTAACCAAGTTTGATGGAAGACAGACCAGAAATATGTAGAGGTATTCAAGCAGCAGATTTGTATCTGCATGGAACAACAGCTCGATAGACAGTGTTGAAGAGATGGCATACTGCCAAGGTGTTTAGGGAAGACTTTGGGGAAGATCTAGAATTAAAAGCTCAAAGGGACTCCATCTCACCTAGACTCACTGTCTTTAACTGTAGAATCAACTTCATTAGTTATGTTTTACATACAATAAAACGTTTCTAACTTCATATGATTTGATGAGTTTGGGCGAATTAATTCACCTATGCTATTACCATCCAAATAAGATGGAATATTTCCATTACCACCAAAATGTTCCACCTTATTCTTCTGCTGTTAGTTCTGCATCCCAGACATCAGACAACCTCAGTATGTTTATTTATTTATTTATTTATTTTATGGGTTGTGGGGCTTGAACTCTGGGTCTGGGAACTTGTCTCAGCTCTTCAGCTCAAGGCTAGCGTTCTACCATTTGAGCCACAGCACCACTTCCGGTTTTCTGAGTGGTTTATTGGAGATGTGAGTCTCATGGACTTTTCCTGCCCAGGCAGGCTTTGAACTGTGATCCTCAGATCTCAGCCTCCTGAGTAGCTAGGGTTACAGGCATGAGCCACTGGAGCCTGGCTTGTGTCTCAATATTATATGAATTCATGTAAGAATAATTATGCCTATCGTTTGCGCACCATGTTGTGATTCTTCTGTGCTCAAAGTCCAGAATGAATATACCTGGGTGACTTTTTACATCTTGCTATCTTAGTTTCTAATGTCTATTTTCCTTATATCAGCTTTCCCTCCTCTGTTTTTTTTTCTAATTTTTATTTATTTTTTTATTGTGAAAATACTGTACAGAGGAGTTACAATTACATGGGCAAGATAATGAGTACATTTCTTATCAAGCTTTGTAGCCTCCTCCTTTGTTTCGCCTTCCCATCCCTTCCCATCTTCCCCCCCACCCCCCAATCCTCCCCGCCCCCCTCTCCCCCCTCTATGTTTTAAGGTATGGCATCTCATTCTTATTTTAACAAGTTAGTTTTTCTGGGATAAAAATTCATTGCTTCAGATTTGGTCTTCAGTTTGGGTTTGGTTCTGAAAACTTTTTGTTGTGCAAATTCTAAAAGTAGTATTTACTGCAGAATTTTAAGAGGTGCTGGTGGTTCACACTTATTGTAGCTACTCAGGAGGCTGATACTTGGATGGTTTTGATTCAAAGCCAGCCTGGGTCGAGAAAGCCCAGAGACTCCAATTAGCTAGCAACCAGGGCTGGAAGCATGGCTCAAATGGTAAAGTAAAAGCTATGCAAGCAAGCTGAGTGAGTGCAAGGCCCTAAATTCAAGCACCATTACTGACAAACACACACACACACACACATTTAAAAGCCTTCATAACCTGTATCTCTACCACCCTGAGATGAACAATTTTTAACTTTACATCCATAACTTTCAACTTTTTGTGGATATGTATATTGAGTATAACTATCTTTTTTTTTTTTTTTGTCGGTCGTGGGGCTTGAACTCTGGGCCTGGGCGTTGTCCCTCAGCTCTTCAACTCAAGGCGAGCGCTCTGCCACTTGAGCTACAGCGCCACTTCCTGAGTACAACTATCTTTTTGAGAATTTATATTTTGCTGCTGGTAGGTGCAGTTACGTGGCTTGGATTCAGGGTTTGTGCCTTCTCGGTAGGTGCTATGCCACTTGAGCCATGTCTCCAGCTTTTTTGTATTAGTTATTTTTCAGAGAGAGGGTCTCAGGTTTTTGCCTCAGACACTGAATGATTCTCCTTATGCCTCCCAGGTGCTGGGATCACTGGCACATGAAATTATGCCCACCTTTCTTTCCCACCGACCTCCTTTCCTTCCACCCCTTCCCCTCCCCTCTTTCCCTCAGCTCTTCAGCTCAAGGCTAGTGCTCTACCACTTGAGCCACAGTGCCACTTCTGGCTTTTTTTGCTTATGTGCTGTGGAATCAAACCCAGGGCCTCGTGCATGCAAGGCAAGCACTCTACCACTGAACCACGTTCCCAGATCCCCTAGCTTCTTTTTTTTATGCCAGTCCTGGGGCTTGAACTCAGGGCCTGGGTGCTGTCCCTGAGCTTTTTTACTCAAGGATAACACTCTATTATTTGAGCCACAGCACTGCTTCTGGCTTTTGGGTAGTTCATTGGAAATAAGAATCTCACAGACTTTTCTGCCCAGGGTGCCTTCAAACTGAGATCCTCAGATATCAGCCCTTTTAGTAGCTAGGATTACAGGCGTGAGCTACCGGCACCTGGCTATTAACTTCTTAATTATACTGTACTCAGTTCCAAGTGATTCATTGTCTCTTTATTAGTAGACATTAGTAGACATTTCCATTTTTTTCAGTCATTGCTGATCATAATGAGTACAGCTTTGAACATCATTTCAGATTCATCCTTGTGTACTATTTTAAAGGAATTTACCAGAACTGGGTACATTAAAGTTCTCCAGAGAAACAGATCATGTTTGTGTGTGTGTAGAAGGATATGTGTTTGTATGTACAATAAATATTTTAAGGAATATGATTATGGAGGCTTGGCAGGTACCAAATACTTGATGAGGATGGCTAGCAGTCTTGAGGCTAAGGGAAGAGTCACATTTCAAGTCCATGGACAGTCATGAAGGCAAGCGGTCTCTGAGGAGCTGTCAAAGGTGTTTCTACCAGTCTGCTCAAAAGAGATCAACCTTTTTTTGGTTCTGTTTAGAACCTCAGATTGAGTGAGGCCCACCCATATTATGGAGAGTAACACTTGCTTTACACAGAGTCTATCAATTTATATATAAATCTCATCTAAAAACATTCTCACAGGACCATCTCCAATAATATTCAACCAAATATCCAAGCATTGTGACCCAGCTATATTGCAGAATTAGCCATCCTACTGAGTCAGTAATCAAGCTTAGTGTTGATATCTGAGCCTTCCACCTGAATTATTTAACGATTATTTAAAAATAAATAATGGGGATGACTGTCAATGTTGTAATAGTCTAGAGAGTTTCAGTTCATACATCAAAAGAATCATAATTATGTTAATGAGTAATTCTTAAAAATATTTCTCAAAATTATAGATGTGGCTGTACCTGGTAACCCCGAAGGAAAAGATGGAGGAGAGCCACCTGGGACATCACAGAAATCCCCAGAGGAGTTCACAGATGCAAAACACGAGTCGCTGTTCAGCCTGGAAACCAATTTTCTTGAGGAGCCAAGTGGAGACAGCTGTTCTCTGAAAGCATCACAAGGTCAGAGCACAGCATGTGGGGTTTGAATTCACAAGTGCTTCATGGGGTTGTGCATTGATCTGTACATAGTCTCCAGTTCTGAGAGGAACAGCAGTAAAAACAGAGCTGGAAAGCTATACTTCTCAAAGGTACTTTAGGATTTTCAGTGATCAGCCAGTGTTGAGGACTGTGGAGTTCACAAGGTGAAATTACAATGTGTAGTGTCCTGAACTCCAGGTGGGGAAGAAAGTGTCTTATGGCTCAAAACCAGGCAGTCATGGAACCTGACCCCAGGGATCTTTCCATCTTCCAGATGAGATTCCGTGTGTGTGTGTGTGTGTGTGTGTGTGTGTGTGTGTGTGTGTGTGTGTGTGTGTG